CTTCCCAAAGTATTCCACGTAATAAAAACAGAAGGGCCTTTGCCAAACTCTTTCTACAAGGCTTCAATAACCTTGATTCCCAAGCCACACAAAGACACAACTAAGGAAGAGAACTTCATGAACATTGATGCAAAAATACTCAATAAAATACTAGCAAATCGGATCCAAGAACACATCAGAAAACTCAGTCAACATGACGAGTAGGCTTCATCCCAGGCATGCAGGGTTGTTTCAACATACAAAAATCCATCGATGTAATCCACCATAAGCTGAGAAACAAAAATCACACGATCATCTCACTGGGTGCTGAAAAAGCCTTTGACAAAATCCAACACCCCTTCATGATAAAGGTCTTGGAGAGATCTAGGATAACAGGAACTTGGTGTTGCAAGCTTTTAATCCCAACACTCAGGAGGCAGAGGCAGGAGGATCTCGGTGAGTTCGAGGCCAACCTGGTCTACAGAGCAAGTGCCAGGATAGGCTCCAAAGCTAGACAGAGAAACCCTGACTTGAAAAAAAAACAAAAACAAAAACCAGGAATTTACCTTAACATAATAAAAGCTATATACAGCAAACCAACAGCCAACATCAAACTAAATGGACAGAAATCCAGCCCGTTTCCTCTAAGATCAGGAACAAGACAAGGCTGTCCATTCTCTCCATATCTCTTCAGTATTGTACTTGAAGTTCTAGCTAGAGCAATATGACAACCAAAGGAGATCAAGAGGATACAAATTGGAAAGGAAGAAGTCAAACTTTCACTATTTGCAGATGATATGACAGTTTACATAAGTGACCCAAAAAACTCTACCAGGGAACTCCTGCAGCTGATACTTTCAGCAAAGTGTCAGGATACAAGATCAACTCAAGAAAATCATTAGCCCTACTATATGCAGACAATAAAAGGGCTGAGAAAGAAATCAGAGAAACATTGCCCTTTAAAATAGCCACAAACAACATAAAATACCTTGGGGTGACACTAACCAAACAAGTGAAATACCTGTCTAGGAATAACTTTGAGTCTTTAAAGAAAGAAATTAAAGAAGACACCAGAAGATGGAAAGATCTCCCATGCTCTTGGATAGATAGGATCAACATAGTAAAAGTGGCAATCTTACCGAAAGCAATATACAGATTTAGCGCAATCCCCATTAAAATCCCAGCACAGTTCTTTACAGACTGAAAGAACAATAATCAACTTTATATGGAAAAACGGAAGATTCAGGATAGCCAAAACAACCCTGTTCAATAAGGCAACATCCAGAGGCATCACCATCCCTGACTTCAAGCTCTATTACAGAGCTATAGTCCTGAAAACAGCTTGGTATTAGCACACAAATAGACAGATAGGCCAATGGAATTGAATTGAACACCCCAACATTAACCCATACACGTATGAACTCCTGATCTTTGACAAAGAAGCTAAAATTATACGATGGAAAAAGGAAAGCATCTTCAACAAATGGTGCTGGTATAACTGGAGGCTGACATGTAGAAGACTGCAGATAGATCCATGCCTATCGCCATGCACAAAACTTAAATCCAAATGGATCAAAAACCTCAATATAAATCCAGCCACACTGAACCTGGTAGAAGAGAAAGTGGCAGGCACCCTTGAATGAATTGGTACAGGAGACCGTTTCCTGAACATAACTTAGGTCCCATCTATTAATTGTCGATCTTAGCACAGACACTAAAATCGACAATTAATAGATAGGAACTCCTGAAACTAAGAAGCTTCTGTAAGGCAAAGGACACAGTCAGCAAGACAAAAAGGCAACCCACAGACTGGGAAAAGATATTCACTAACTCCACATCTTACAGAGGGCTGATCTCCAAAATTTACAAAGACCTCAAGAAGAAAGTCTCCAAAACACCAAAGGATCCAATTAAAAAGTGGGGTACAGAACTAAATAGAGAATTCTCAGTAGAGGAATCTAAAATGGCTGAGAGACACTTCAACATTCCTAGCCATCCAGGAAATGCAAATCAAAACAACTCTGAGATACCATTTGACTCCTGTCAGAATGGCTAAAATCAAAAATTCCGATGACAGTTTATGCTGGAGAGGATGTAGAGAAAGGAGAACACTCCTACACTGCTGGTGGGAGTGCCAACTTGTACAGCCACTTTGGAAATCAGTATGGAGATTTCCTCAACAAAATGGGAATCAGTCTACCACAAGAACCAGCAATTCTACTCTTAGGCATATACCCAAAAGATGCACATTCATACAACAAGGATGTATGTTCCACTATGTTCATAGCATTATTTGTAATAGCCAGAACCTCGAAGTAACCTAGATGCCCCTCAGCTGCAGAGTAGATAGAGAAAATGTGATACATTTACACAGTGGAGTACTATTCAGTGGGGAAAAAAAAACTATGGAATCTTGAAATTTACAGGCAAATGGATGGCAGTAGAAGAAACCATCCCGAGTGAGGTAACCCAGTCACAAAAAGAGAAACATGGTGTGTACTCACTCATTTATGGATTTTAGACATGAATCAGGGGAGTGCCAGCATACAATCCCACTGCCAGAGAGTCTGGGAAACAGAACCCTCATCCAGCCTCTGATTGAAAGCAGAAGCAGATACCCACAGACAAACACTGAACTGAACTCCTGGAATCCAGTGTCAGAAAGGAGTTAAGACTGGGCTGTTACCCACAGAAACAGTTGACCTGAACAAGGGGATCTCTTGGACCCCAGATTGATGGCTGTGTAGAAAGCATGGGACTGACCCAGACCCCCTGAATGTGGGTGTCAGTGAGGATGCCTAGGTAATCTATGGGGCCTTGGGTAGTATTTATCCCTGGCATACAAATAGACTTTGAGTGCCCATGCCACAATATGGGATGCTCTCTCAGCTGGGACTCTTGGGGAATCACTGGAGACTCACAATGGAGGGCCTCACCCTCCCTGGGGATTGGAGTGGTGATTGGTTGGGGTACTGGGGAGGGAAGGAAGGAGAGGGAGCTGGGATTGACATGTGAAACAAGCTTGTTTCTAACTTAAATTAAAAAAATATTTTTTTTAAAAAAGCCTTTATATACCTAGACAACAGTAAGGCAGCTCTCAGGGACTTGAGTTCTCTAAAAACATAGTATATGCCTCGCTGCTCTGTTGAATGTCGTTCATCATGTACTGCTACTGTCTGTAGTGTGGCAAAAATAACCGTGTCCATGCATGGTGATCATATATGTACAGACTGTTATAGGAAGCTTACACTAAAAACTGTTAAAATGATTCTCTTCATTGAGGGAAACAGAGTGATTGATTCCCCCCCCCCCCCCAAGTAAGCCCGTCCTCTTTTGATTTCAGGAGTGACTTAGAGTTTCTAAATACTTAAGGCATCAACACATGGTTTCCTAATTTTAAATGTTGTGGGGATACCTTAAAAACTGTTTTTACTCTTTAGGGACTCTGTTATCTAGAAAGTTCACTTTTCTCTTTCATGGTATAGGAAAACTGGTCAGGCATGCTGGCTCACACCTTTACTCTTGGCCCTGGGGACTCAGAGCAGGGAGAACTCTGGATTTGAGGCCAGCGTACTTCCTGTAGTGAATTTCAGGCCAGCTGGGGGATGTGTACTGAGAAGGAAAGGAAAAGACGGCTCTTTCCCTAGTGGCTGTAGCCTTGGAAAATGGCGCCATCTCTACTCAGTAACTGCTAGGGTTAGGGGTACCATAAAGACTTACTCTCGCTCTCCAGACCTGGCCGAGCAGGAGGCTCCATCATGGGTGTTGACATTCAACACAAGGACGGAAAGGTTCGGGGCAAGGAGCCCAAGAGCCAGGACATCTACCTGCGGCTGCTAGTCAAGCTGTACAGGTTTCTGGCCAGAAGAACCAACTCCACCTTCAATCAGGTTGTGCTGAAAAGGTTGTTTGTGAGTGCACTAACCGGCCACCTCTGTCCCTGACCCGGATGATCCGAAAGAAAGATGAAGCTTCCTGGCCGAGTGAAGGTGTGTGCACTGCGGGTGAGCAGCCGGCCAGAAGTCGCGTCCTGAAGGCTGAGGGAAAGATCCTCACCTTTGACCAGCTAGCCCTGGAGTCTCCCAGGGGCCATGGCACTGCACTCTTCTATGGTCCTCGGAAGGGCCGAGAGGTATACCGACATTTAGGCCAGGCCCCAGGAACCTCACACAGCCATACCAAACCCCATGTCTGCTCCAAGGACCGAGTTTGAATGTACCAGAGGCAGAAGGGCCAGCCGTGGCTACAAAAACTAACCCTGGATCTTACTGTTACTTTAAAAAAAAAAAAAAAAGCTTTGGGGGGAAAAAAAAGACTTACTCTGCTTTTTGTTTTGGTTATGTATGTGCATGCGGGTCTCTGTGGGGTGTGAGTGCAGTTGCCTGAAGAGGCCAGAGGAGAGTGCCTGATATGTCAGAACCTCTGGAGCAGGAGTTGCAGGCTGTTGTAAACCACCTGACATGGGTGCTGGGAACTGAATTCAGGTCCTCTTTAAGAGTGGCGCATACTCAGAACTGCTGAGCCTTCTCTTCAGTCCCAAGAGCATTTTTAAAAATCAGCTGTATGTAGGATCCCCATTCCTGACGACTCACAGCTAATTATCCCTTTCTAGAGTTGGGGGATTTTTTTTTTCTGTTTCTTCAAAAGATTTCAAGTGTAACTGGAAGTTTCATCAGCTTTTGACTAGGCACTAGCTTTTATGGTTCAGGTAGAAAAACAACTGCATAAGAAAATAATTACATAAATGGCCTTGAAATCCAAGGGTAATTTTGTCTTCAGAGGACCTATTTGGTCATTAACTTCTAATTCTTTCTCAAGGTATATTTTATAAAGCTTATTCTTTGTCAGCATTCATTAGGCATTTTTTAGAAGTCCTCCATTTAATTTATTAAGAATTTTCAGAGATAGAATGAATTTCATCAGAATTTAGCTACCTTAACCATTGCACTGTGATTAAAATATTTTAGTTCATGATATGAGAATTGTCTAGTGATTTTCCTTGTTGTATTGTCACAAAACAGAAAGAAGAGGGCAAACTCCAAGGCCAACTGAACAGGTCCGACTCCAACCAGTACATTAGGGAGCTGAAGGACCAGATAGCAGAGCTGACTCATGAGGTGAGTGATAAATGTCGGTCTTCACATCTTTCTTCCTTCCTTCCTCTCTTGATGTAACACTTGTTACTGACCATTTGGTGCTGAATGTTGTCTATGAATTCATGGTTATAGTTGAGAGCAGCTTAGACGCTTGCCTTTTTAAACAAAGATTTGTGTGTTCAGATATTAAGGTTTTGTCTTTCTTAAACCTTTAATAACTTATAACGATCAGTTCCTGACAGGCTTCTTTGTTTTAACTGTGATCTGAAAACATATGGTAGTCGCCCACATCTTCACTAGACTGCAGTTACATCAAAATCTCCTTACACCTAACTGACCAGCGTTTGCCGTTACATGGGGAAGTCTTCTATCCCCTTCACGGGGCTCTTACTGAGATTGCAAAAAAGGATACTTGCCTAACATCAGTTAAACAGATTTCTTAGTATGTGAATGCTTTTTAAACTGGCACCTAGAATCTCTGACATTCGGCCAATGAAATTTCTCAGAATTTGACTAGCTCTAAGGCTAATTTAAATCATTTAAACTAATCTATTGTGACTGGGGAAAAACTTTATGTAGCTTAGGTCAGTTTTCTGGTCTTTACTATTCATCTTCTCATGATAAATATTCAACAGTACAGATAAAACCATGTTTCCTGTTTTGAATATTTGCAAAATAATATTCACAGTAATGAGATTTGAAAGGATAGCATAAACTTGATTTGCTTTTAAAAGTGAAGAAAGGAAACTCCTTGACCACTAGATGAAGCTAACCTCAAAGGAACAAGTGTGGACATTGCCCTTTCCTGGTCTCACATCCTTCAGTTGGAGGATGAGTGTTTGGTGAAATAACTTCCTGCAGGTAGTTAGTTTAGAGTGAATTCCTAGTGAAGAGGAAAGAAAACTTAAGTTTGACAGATTCACATGTGGTTCAGTTCAGTTTCCTTTGGCTCATGAGGGCCCCCTTCCTATCAATATTACTACTACGCATGGTAACATTTGATGAGGTCGGGATCTTATGTCTGCCTTTACCTGTTAGTAAGCTTTTAACAAATGATTTATGTTTTATCTCTGTCAAAATTCTGCAAATCCTCCCTCTGGGAACTTCTCCTGTGCTCAGAAGAAATTCTGGTCAGGTGTTTCTATGGGTTTTCCCAGCGTGGTCTTGACCCCTTTGTTCATCACTCCTTCCTATCTGAAACTGGATTCTAGGAGTTTGGCTCAGTGCTTGGCTGTGGATCTCTGCTTCTGCTTCCATCATCTACTGGATGAAGGCTCTGTGTTGGTTCCACAGTCTGGAGGAACCAACACAGGACCAAACCAGGCCCCCTGAACGTGGGTGTCAGTTAGGAGCACTGGGCAGCCTATGGGGCCTCAGGATGAATCCATAGGGCACAGAGTTAGGGAGCCCATTCCCCATGAAGGGACACTCTCTTAGCCTAGATACACAGGGGAGGGCCTAGGCCCTGCCCCAAATGACTTGACAGGTTTTGATGATCCCTCATGGAAGGCCTCACCCTCCCTGGGGAGTGGATAAGGGATGGGATGGGGGCCGTTGGGGGATATGGGAGGATGGGAAGGAACTGGGATTGATACATAAAATAAGATTGTTTCTAATTTAAATAAAATTTATATATAATAAATAAAAGATGAGCTTATCAATTTCTGCAAGAAAAAATAGGAATTCTGACTGAAATAAAACAATTTCCCATGAAGTATAAGAAAACTAACATTGTTGGCTTAAGAAAATTATATATAAATCAGTTATGTTTCTAAAACTAGCCTAAAAGAACCAATCGACAGGAATTAATTTTGCCTGTTACGTGTGACTAAAAATGAGAATGTTTTTCTCATCAAGAAAGAAAATTATGCACATGAGATTTGTCTTTGACACATTGATTGACTGAGCTGGAGGCAGGGTCCTGTGCTGTCATCTCATTTCAGATTTTCAGTCATTTTGCTTCAGACTTTGGAACTCTGGAATTATGGATGTGCTCCATTGACTAACTATATATGCAGCTGCAAGGTGTGTGTGTGTGTGTGTGTGACCTTGAAAAGTTTCTTGTATAAACTTGAAGAGAAAACTAATTTTCAGGTACAATGTCCTATTAAAGAACTAGATTCAAGTTAAATAACTACTGTAAAGGCTGGGAGAGAGGTCTAGGATGGTCTGGAGAGGTGGCTCAGGGGTTAAGAGCACTGGCTGGTCTTTCAGAGGACCTGGGTTCATTTCCTGCCACCCACATGGTAGCTCACAACCACATGTAGCTTCAGCCTCAGGGGATCCAAACAGTCTTCTGACTTTTGAGGGCATCAGGCATGCACATACATACATACATACATACATACATACATACATGCATACATACATACATACATGCATGCAAAAACCTCATAAAATAATAAGATAAATCTAAAACAGTTTTAAGAAGTCAATAGCATAAAGTCTGAGCAAGTGGCCAATTTAGAGACTACGGATTTTGTATCTAATACTTATGCTACGGAGATTCTTTCCCGCCAGCCTGGTCCCACAGCCTTCTTGCTCCAAACGAACACGCAGACACTATATTAATTATGAAACTGTGGCTGATGGCTTGAGCTTCTTATTAGCTAGCTCTGTCTTGATTATTAACCATTTCCCATCCATTTATGAATTGCAATGAGGCTGTGGCTTATCTTACCGGAGAAGGGTCCAGACCTCTAACTCCTTTGGCGGCTCATATGACAACTGCTAAGTAGCTCCATAGAGAAGAGAGTGATTTCCTGTTTGTCCCTGCTTATATCCTCATTCTGCCCAGCTCCATCACTTCCTGTCTATCTGTAGAGACCTCCAGACCTCTATGGTTAGCTAGTGGCAAGTTTCTGCCCAGCTATGTGACTTCCTGTCTGGCCAACCAATCAGTGTTTTATTCATTAATCAATAGGAGACATATATAAGAAGACATTCCCCATCACACTTAGATGTAAAGGGTCAAATAAATCTCTTCAAAAGACACAGCACACTGGTCACAGAGCAGGGCAAGGGAAGTTGTGCATGGATTAGCACGCTGAGCTGTTTTGGTGGGCTGAGGAAGGGGAGACCACGGCATTTACCTCACTACTGTACTTGGCTGTGTATACTCTCTGGGAGTTTACTGACTTCGGAGTGTCCTGCCACTATAGCAGGAACTGGTTTTTGTAACCACTTCTCTTGGAAATCACATTGTCCCAAATTTGGCCAATGGGAATTCTCTCAAGCAGGTTCAGTGTTGGGTCTTTCCCCCTTCCCCCCACAACCTTCATTAGTCTGTCACTTCTGAGTTTGTGAGCATCTACGTAGTAGCTTATGCTACATGAACACACACTCCAGTGTGCAGTACCAAAGCAGCGTTTGTTAGTGCTTGTCAATAAATGGCATAAGAGATGGTCCTAAAATTGTCTGTGACAGTTGGAGTGGCAATGTAAGGGTTAAGAGACATAGGACAGGCACAATGACTTATAACCCCAGTGCTTAGGAGGCTGAGACAGCAGAGTTACTGCGAGTATAAGGCCAGCCTGAACTACAGAGTAGGAGTCTAGCTACCAAAGGGGGAAAAATAAAAAGAACAGAAAAGAAGGGGGGGAGAGACTAAGGTATATTACTTGGAAGGCCTGGTGTAGTGGCTCACATCTGTGAGTCTATTCTATCACTTGAGATTGGAGCAGGATTGCCAAATGTACCAGGCCAGCATGGGCTGCAGAGTGAAACCTATCTCAGAAACAAAAACAAACAAACAAAACCAAACCCACCTAGGTTATAAAAAGTAAAAGCAAACAGCAGTCAGTATTTTTGTAAGAAAACATATCTTGCTGTGAGCTCTGTGATGCTATAGTCTTGATAGTTTTATTCTTAGCAGATGGATGAGGATGGGAAAGCCCTGCACTAGTCCCGAGGAGACCTGTGGTTGCCTGCGCTCGACTATTCCCTGTGATACAGTGGAACACAGACATCTGGAAGCATCTTAGTTACGTGTGCACTCTCGTGATTATAGCGCCAGCACTGAGTGACACTCGCGTGTACACTCTCCACAATTATGGCGCCAGCACTGAGTACATTCACAGGATGCACTTAGGGCTTCACTCATATTAGTAAGGAATAGTAAAAATAATCCACAGTGTAAACGCCTCATGCCTTCTTCAGGTGCTCCCATTCTGCACCTAAACTCACGTTTTAACGATGTCTTACATTGGAAAGCTGACTACTCCTATACTCCTACTCTTTGTCTAACTTCTGCTTTTTCCTTTCACTATTACACCAGTACTTCAGGCATATCCTTAAAGCAGAGAGAATGAAATTGCTTGGTTCCCATGGAGTTTATTTGGTTCTTAACAGCAGTTAAAATTTATGTTCAATATATATCACATACATATTTTGTTGTTGGGGGTGTTTGTTTTAGTTGCAGATTTTGTGTGGCTTTGTTCTCCATCGTGCTAGAGATGATTGGAAAACTCATCTTTAGACACGTGGATCCTGGGCCTATCTTTGACCTGTGACTTGGAAGGCTAGCGCATTTTATGTGTCCATCAAGTGAACATTTGAACATCTTTAGTTCCCAAGCATGACTCAGATAGTGCCTCAGTTTATGGTCCTAAAGCAGTTGTACTAAATGGGTTCTTAATGTTCTTTACATCCTGAGGTTGGACTAAGTCATGGTACAGGCACTTGGAGCTGATAGAGAAGGAAGGGAGGGTGGCAGTGTTGTAGAGTCACAGGGAAGCATGCCCTGGAGCATGCCACAAGATCATGTGGGCTGGAGAGGTGACTTGGGGTACAGGGGTACTTGCTTCAAAAGCTGGATGACCTGAGTTTGGATCCCAATACCCATTGTCAAAATAGAGGTATGGTTGTGTGAGGGGGCTGAGACAGGTGTATTGGTGTTGATGGTTGACCTATAGCCAATCTCCAGGTTCAGTAAGAAATCCTTTCTTTCTCAAAGGAGTAACGGATGGATGGTAAGGCCAGGTGGCCGACATCCTCTTCTGGTCTCTCTGCACACATGGTCTCCCCCTCCCTCCCTCCCTCCCTCCCTCTCTCTCTCACACACACACACACACACACACCCTACCCCTCCAATCTGGGGCTACCTATGCTGTGTATTAAAGAATAGAAAGTAACCAGGGAAAGGGGATCAGAGGGCATTTCAAATAGAGAGGCACATATGTGAATAGCAAAAGCTCAGGAGTACAAAAGTGGGGGATAGCTTAGAGAGTGGGGCCCAGAAGCCAGGAGAGGACTTCACCGCTCGCTTTGTTTTTGACATGGAACTGAAGAGCTGTCACAGAGTGATTCCTTTTCTTTCTCTCATCCCCCGACCCCTTGAGCTGGAGTTGGCACCCAGGCCCTTGCATGTTCTAAGCCCTGTCCACCCCTGAGCGACATCCCCAGCCCAAGCAAGGCTTCTGTAAACAAGAGGAGATCCACAGATGCAGCTACTTCCTTGGTTATGCTTGGAGAGAATTTTGAATTCCTTTTTGAGACCTTGGTTCATAGAGTGAGTTTCAGAGTCTCAGGGCCAGTTTGACTCTTTTAAATTTGAGATGTTCTGTTGATATTACCCACTAAACAACCTTAATACTCAACACTTGGATTTATGTTTTTAAAAAAGTTTTCAAAGTTTATTTTTCTCTTATGTGCATTGGTGTTTTGCCTGCATATATTTCTCTATGTTGGATCCCCTGGAACTGGAGTTATAGACAGCTGTGAGCTGCCATGTGGGTGCTGGGGATTGAATCCAGGTCCTCTGGAAGAGCAGCCGGTGATCTTAACCATTGAACCATCTCTCCAGCCCCCATCTTAAAATTTTTTTTCAGTGTTTATATGTTTTTATTTTGACACTTATTTTTTATGATGCAAACTCTTAGATTAAGAGGGCTAGTTTCTTGAACTTTGATTTTGGAATATGATTAGTCATTTTTAAAATTTGTTTTCTTTTATATCTTGAATTTATGGAGATCTGCTGCCTTTGCCGGTCTAGTACTGGAATTAAGGGCATGCACCTCCATGCCCAGCAAGTAACTTAATTTTTATATATTACTTTAAAAAATAAGTAACACAGTGCTAGCTTTTTTTTTTTTCAAATTAGTAACAGTAAGAATCAGTTAAAGGCCCTTTGGTAATAAGTAACATTTGCTAAGGATCAATAAGAGACCCTTTTGGTAGAAGCTGAACTGCTGGCTCCAGATTTACTCAAGCCCAAAGTTTTCAACTGTGGCTAGAGGCCTTCAAAGCAGTAAATCATGTGCTTTTCACGAACAGTATCTCACAGATGCAGTTGGACATGAGATAATCAGATTTTCTCTCCCCACAAACAGAACAGCTGGAAATGTCTGCCTGTGTACATAGCACAGACTCTGCTGCCTGTCTGATTTAAGTTGTGGTCAGCATAAGGAACCTGTGATGTGATAAGATAGCGTTCGTGAGGTCATGTGGTTACAAGGACCCAATCTTCACCGAGCAGCCTGCAGGTCTCAGGGTTGAGAGGAGTCTGAAACTGACCTCTCTGAAGGAGGAGGTTTTGTGCTCCCCGCAAGGGAGGAGGGGCAGTCTATATCTTACAGGCTTAGAAATGACATTATCAGGAGTTGCAGCCCCTGAAGAAATGAGCACCGCAAGTCATTCCCGAGTTCCTCCTTTATACTCAGCACTAAAGCACTAAGCTCTTACTGTAGTATCTGAAGAAGGCAGCCATCATTTATTTTTTTTGTTGAGGGAAAACTGTGTGTAGGAAGTTTACATTGTTGGTGATTTTTCTTTTATCAGTTAGAAATTTCTTTCCAAGTGGACAGTTACTTACTTTCTTTTTTTTAACCAAAAACATCTTTATTTTAAGCCTTTAAAAAAACAAAGCAAAACTCTTCCTTTCCCAAAATAACCATGATTAGCTTAGAAAAATGGGCATATATTTCCAAAGTATTTCCTTTTAACGGAAACTTCATTTTATAGAATCTAAACATCAAAGGTTTTTTAAAAAGCCAGAATCTAGCATAAGTCAAGGTGATCCATTCATACTTCAGGCCCTTCTCCTCCAGGAACCAGCATCGTTATATTATTCCCATTTAGTAAAATCTGATCTAATTTTGTAATCCTTCTTCCTTCTGGTGTAATTTCAAACTCGGTGACATCTTCCAACACCATATTGACAAAGTCGTCAAACCCTAGAAGTGTACCAACTATCTCTTTATCACTCTTCATCACAATGTGAATCCTTGATCCTATACACTTGTCCACAAGCTCTAGTGACAGGAGCTGAGACGGGTTCGTGGTCGCGTTAGCCGCCATGGCCACGCCGGACCAGTTACTTACTTTCAACCTGCCAGTATCTTTGTTTGAATCATACATTAAAAATGACTGCCTGGCTTTATATAAATAAGTAAACAATCACTTTATCAAGATAGTCGTGTGTGCTCCAGTTTACCCATGCACGGTTTATTGTTCCGTGGACCTTTGGAATATTCCCAGAGTCTTCACATTCACAACTGTCATCACAGTCAGTCGTAGAACTCTGTGAGCACTCTAGAAAGAAACCCTGTAATCAACAGCAGTCACTGCTCATTACCTCAGACTCTTTCTCCTGCCCTTAGGCTGATGCCCTTTCTGTCTCTATAGAGATTCCTTGATGCTGTACATGAAATGTAAATAGAAACATGTAATATTTGGTCTCATATAACTGGTTTTTTCCACTTAGCATAATGTTTTCAAGAGGTATCCATATCATACTAGGTATGCCTCTTTTTTATATAAACTACTTAACCTTATTTTCTGTGCATTGGTGTGAAGGTATCAGATCTCTAGGAACTGGAGTTACAGACAGTTGTGAGCTGCCATGTGAGTGCTAGAAATTGAACTTGGATTCTCTGGGAAGAACAGCCTTAACTGTTAAGCCCTTTCTCCAGCCACCTAGGTGTTTCTGTGTCATTCTTTCATATTCCCCTAATATTCAAAAGTATGAACACACATTTTATCCACTGACTAGATGATAAACAGTGGCTTATTCCCCTTTTGACTTTCATGAATAATGTTACTATAAATATTCACGTGCAAACTTCTGATTGGACCTTTACATACTTAATAGTAGATTTGTTGCATCATAAGTCAACTCCACATTTACCAGCTGAAGCAATGCCACTGTTTTCTGAGGCTGCTGTAACAGTTGCCTTCCTGCCAGGTGTCTGTGAGGCTTCTGACTTCTTGCTCACACTTGATCTGTCTTTGTGGTGAAGCCATCTTGTAACTATGATGACTACAACCTCACGTGTAGCCCAAACTGGCCTCTGACTCACAATTCTCTCTTGGTGTCTCAGGTTTTTTGAGATTCACAATGATTCTCATGAGCCTTCCTTTTCCTTGCATGACTTAAAGAAGTGGAACATCTTTGAAAAGCCCAGTTGGCCCTTTATATCTTAAGGGAAATGTCTATTGGGCCTATTGGGTCTTTTTCCCTTTTACTTTATTTTTTTTTTGTTGTTGTTGTTTTGTTTTGTTGATGTTGTTTTTTCAAGACATAGTTTCTCTGTGGCTTTGGAGGCTGTCCTGAAACTAGCTCTTGTAGACCAGGTTGGCCTTGAACTCACAGATATCCGCCTGCCTCTGCCTCCTGAGTGCTGGGATTAAAGGCGTGGGCCACCAACTCCTGGCTCCCATTTTTGTTTTTGTTGTTGTTTTTTGTTTTTGTTTTTCAAGACAGGGTTTCTCTGTATTGCTTTGGAGGCTGGAACTCACTCACTCTGTAGACCAGGCTAGCCTCAAACTCACAAAGATCCACCTGCTTCTGAAAGTTGAGTTTTCAGAGGTTTTTATATGTTAAGTATACTACTGTTGTCAGATATATGATTTCTGGTTTTTAAATGTATTTTTAAGCATATTTGTGAAACTAAACCAATTTAGTCTGTGTCTCGTGTGGTTTTCAGGCGTTCTTCTGTATAATATGTCCAATGCCTGACTTTCTAGATTGAAGCGTGATGTTTGATGGAGAAGAGGGAGAGCTTCCTCTAAAGCCTTAGTCCCCAGTGTGACACCTCTGACCTTCACACACATGCTTGTGCACACCTGCACACCCCACACAGATGATAGACAGATATGTAAACATTTGTCTGATAAAATATACAAAAAAACTTTCAGTTTCAGTATGAAAAGATTAATACCTCACTTATTAAGCAAGTAAAGAATCTCAGTAGATTATTTTCTAAAATACCACAAATGGCCAGTAACCAGTAGAAAAATATATTCAGCATTATTAATTACCAAGGAAATGCAAATCAGAACTACAGTAAGTTTCTGCTTCATACTAGCCAGGAACATATAAGCAGATAATGAACATTGACAAGGATATGGGTAATCTCAACTCTTTGTACCCCAAGTGGAAGGAGAAAATGGCACAGACACTTTGGAAGATAATGTTTATTTTCCTAAAAGGCTAAACATACTTTCCCTCTGCCTACCTGTTTCACTTCTGTCTTTATACCCAAGAAGATGAAATGTCCACACCGAAACGTGCGCGTGAATATTGACAGCATTGTTTACAGCAGTCAGAAAAGAAAACCATCAGATATCCATATGACGAAGGGGACTGGGCAACTATAATACTGATGTGTGCTGTAACACAGACAAAAGGGGTAAAAAAAAACACACATTGATGACACCACTTACATAAAAGCACAGGAGAGGGAAATCTGTAGAGACAGCCGTAGATCAGTGGTTCCCTGAGGTTGAAGAGGAGCTGAGGAAGACAAGGGCAGGGCATTGAGAGGGTGAGATTGTCTGTGTGTGTAATGAAGATATCCTGAGTTGGTTGTGGCGATGGCTATACCGCTCTATGGGAGACAGTAAGACCTATCCAAATATGTTGGCTGGCCTCTGTGTGGCAGTAACCCTGTCCCCCTTTTTCCTTCATTTTGAGGCAGAGTCTCCCTGAGTAACCAAGACCGGCCTCTAACTTGCAATTCTCCCTTCCAACATCTTGGGTCATAGTGTGTGCCACCATACGTGACTGACTCAACAGCCATATTTAAAAATGGATGTTCTTTGTCTTTTGGAAATTCCCTGAGGTCCATGAAATGGGCCTGTTACAGTGCTTAAAGATATATTGTAAATACAGAGATGTGTGCATCTTGTGAGAAGGAATTCAGAGCTCTATCATGCATCTTGAATGTAACTGGCACTCTGCAATTGAAATATGTCATCGTCAGACTTGGTCTTGATTTTCTGTTAACTTTGTTTACTACCCCATATCCCATTTTGTTTGTAGTTACTTGGGCTGTGTGCTTGCCTCAGTAGACAGTTTAGGACCTACCACAGTGCCAGGTATGTAGTTGACACCCTGGCTGTGTTAGTATGGGCAATTTTTCTTTTTCTTGTTCCTCAATGCCTTGTAGGAATTAGTGGTAGAATTAAATTCATACCAGAAAGGTGCTTCAAACAATTCCAAGGATGCCGTGAAGGCCAATTGAAGGTGATGATGTAATGATATCACTTAAGCCAAGATAAATGATAACTGGGTGTTCATTGGGGACAGTTACACAGAAGAATACAAAGAGCTGCAGGAGCGTTTCCCTGTGCCTCCTACCGGATCCTTTGACCCGCCAGAAAGAACCTGCACAAGTGAGACCACACCCAAAGGGATGTGGCCAGGTTCAACAGCCAGTATGTTCCTATCAAGCCAGTAGACCACAAAAAAAGTATACCTTGTATTGTCACAAGCAGTGTTACAGATGATTATGTCCATCTAATGACATGGCTCCCTTGCTTCCATGGTTCCTTGTAGCTTTCATCAAGTCAGTCATCATCATAAATTGAAATTCTTCCTAGCTTAGTCCCTACTCCGCTTTTTTTAATCTCTCAAGACCTAGACCCAGCCCCACTAAACTACTTGTAGTTTCTCAGCACATAATACATTCTAAGGCCGCTGGGTCTCGCCACATCACTTATGCCTGGATTTCCCATTAACGCCTGCTTATCCTTAACGACCTAGCTCGGTACCGTCTTGTCGTCTTGTTTCTCCCCTCGGGGCAGTGCATGGCCTCTGCTGTGGATTTGCTGACAGCAAAGGTGCAGGCTCTTCCTCCGGACACAAGACCACTGACTACAGGAGCCTTGTTTGCCCAGTTCTTAGGCATGAGTGCACTGCGTGCTGGAGTGCACTGTCTTGATTTGATGGGCTTTAGCAATTTCTGTTAACATAATTCAGTGCCAATAAAAAAGCTTCAAGAGGGCAAACTGCTAACAGTTTGAGTGTTTTTGAGTGCTTCAGCTAAAGGTTAAATCAAATGAAATGTTCGTGGTACTTTGATGTAGCCTTAAAAGTTCAGAGTGAGACAAGTGTGAAGTGATTTATTTCCTGTGACTGGTCATGAGTTTACATAGAACCCCACATATCCCCAGTCTCATTACCACGGCATTAGGCTGCCGTCTGAATATTGCTAATGGTTTCAGTTTTATCAAGATTCATCAGCTGCCAGGAAGATGACGCGCAGAAGTCGTCCCGCTCTGCTTGCCCACAGGACTGCATGCAGCTTGCTGTGTGGCAGACAGAGTCTGTAGATGGCTGCCCTCCCTCCCTCCCTCCCTCCCTCCCTCCCTCCTTCCCTCCCTCCCTCCCTCCCTGCAAGTGGGCAGGATCAGTTTCTCCAATTCCAAACTTTCTGCCCTTTTCACAGCTCTTTGCTGCTTCTCAGTGTGAATAAATCATTTCGTTTCACACGTTTTTACATAGAATCTTCAATTTCTTAAATGTTCCGTGTTTTTAATGACTTCCTTAACACTAACTCTTTCTTAAGCTTTAAGTTCCGTAGTGTTTCAGTGAAGTGTCTTAGTGTTTTAACTTAGACTACTTAGGTACTGCATGTTAGGGTTTTGGCTTACAATGATTAAGAAGTCATGACCTCTAGATGATCACTTTTATTGGTTTCCTGTTTGAGTTCTCTGGAAATCTTTTGGTTTGGGTGCTTGTTGCTAGTTTTAATCTTTGTCATGTTTATAATACAGTTTTTTTTTCTTTTTTGTTTTTTTGAGGCAGGGTTTCTCTGTATAGCCCTGGCTGTCCTGGAACTTGCTCTGTAGATCTGGTCTTAAACTCACAGAGATCCCCCTGCCTCTGCCTCTCGAGTCCTGGGATTAAAGGCCTGCACAACCACACCTGGCAATCATACAGCTTTTTATTTTTTCATTTTTTGGTTTTTCAAGACAGAGGTTCTCTGTATTGTTTTGGAGGCTGTCCTGGAACTCACTCTATAGACCAGACTGGCCTCAAACTCACAGAGGTCCACCTGCCTCTGCCTCCTGAGTGCTGGGATTAAAGGCGTG